CTTCATGATGCACGTCCGCCACAACATGCTGTATGCAGAAACAGCCGTTTCCAAGTCGCGTCCATAATCCATAAATTATGCAGGTTTTCTGTTGACTAATGTAGCGGCACCCTATAGCCGCTGAGAGGCTAAGCAGCAGGAAATATCCGTGACGCGTTTTCTTTCATTGAATAACCAATAACATTTTATTGGCATGATAACAGACTATCCACGTAAAACATGATAAAGATCCGTATAAACGGTCAACAGAAAGTGAGCACTCCCCGCTACTCACCCCCTCTCTACACAATGAACCAAACAGGAAATACTACCAGGTATATACCCACCGATACCCATGTGACCAAACCACCTGGAAACGTACACGCAAAAATACAAGATAAAAGACAAACATTTTCTGCACTTACAATACTCATCACCACTAGAGGGAGTCACATGACCAAATTTCAGGAACATAAGTGCTGAATGCTAATTCGCTATGCCCTAAAAGAATGTACTTTGTCTGTGAAGAAAAAGTAAACACTGTGTGTGTAGCAGGAGAAAACAGAAGTTTTGGGACATACTACCACATAACTGCAGCTTTATCAGACCAGGTTGTAGCACAGTTACATGCATCCTGTCACAGTAAACTCAACTGTCAATCATCTTGTCACAGTTACCATTCTCATATACACACACACTCAACTTTTCAATTAATTTGATTTATGCTACTCAATTCTTCCAATGAGATTGGAGAGAAAAGAGGCATTACATTGATCTGCCAGTCATGGGTTTTTCATGCAGAAAGCTCTCATGTTTTTGCACGATGCAATTGGCAAATCTAAAAAAAAAAAAAAAAAAAAAAAAAAAAAAAAAAAAAAAAGTTTTTCATCAGGTTAGAGATAATGATTATTATAAATCACTCAAACCCCTTTATATAAACCTCAACTTGATTATCTGTCTCGCACTTTAACCCTGTTTTTTAGTTTAACACTTTAGGTTTATGCTGCAGTGATATTTTAGTATCAGTAGGATACTATTATAGTTTTTATTCATATTTTAAATGGGTTTTCATTTTTATTATAGTTTTAGTAATTGTGTTGTGCATCATAGTAGATCGAGTTAGTTTTATTTTATGTTATGGTTTTCGTTTTAGTTAACTAAAATAACCCTGGTATGTAGTTGAAGCAAACCGAATCCTCCTCCAAAGCACAATGGGTTGTAGGCAATATTAGCTGTTAAAGTGTGCATGGACTTGCAATTTCTACAAATAGTAGACCATCCAAGTACCTTTGGGATACTCATTTCAACATACTACAGTTTGGGACACTAATTATAATTTCAAATACTATTTTAGGATGGATAGTCTGCAAATTGGGATGCAGCAGATCTTTTTTGTCATGTTTCAAATAAACCGATGTGGTGCTGCAGTGATGTACCTTCCACAGAGAGCTTCTCAACGGCTCTTCTCTCTCCACGACTGCAGTGGGGCGGCAGACAGAATCCACGGATGCTCCTGCCTGTTCTGACGCGAGAGCTCAGCACGTAATTGGAGTCCAGGTCATCCCCACCCTGCAGGAACAAACAGTTTGTCTTTTGAATAAGCAATATCACTGTATCAGTGATTAAGTACAACAACAAAAAAACTCATCAGAAGGTTGTATTTTGAAAATGTCTCAGCGGTTTTGTCTGTACAATGAAACTGAGTGGGGTCTAATGTTGTTTTGGACAAAAACATCTTTTGTTGCGTGCATGTTTGAAATAACGGTCAGTAAATAACGGAATCATTTCTGGGTGATCTATCACTTCATCTTCATACCTTGAGGTTGCTGGGGTTGAGGTCGGTCTTGTGTTTGTCTGTAGGCTTGTATCCTCCATGTCTGTCCTGAATAATAGGGTCCAGCAGGTCCTTGAACACCTCATAGGTCTCTTCATCCCCAGCCACACAACCCACAGTCATAATGAAGGGGTGGCCTGAGATGGGGAAAAAGGTCCATGTACACAAATTAGGAGCCATGCACCTCAGAGGCCGGCACTAACTAAAACCAGCCATGCTTAACATCAAGTGCTTTCTCTTAGGACTATCTAAACCCTGACCCCTGACAGACTATGTATATTCTTTTACCAGGATTATCTACTCCAGTCTGAATGACGTTATCGATGGTGAAACCATTGGGTGTGCAGTGCTGACGGAGACGTTTGTACATGTCCAGAGTGAGGACTTTGGCCATATGGTTGCAGTGCTCTGTGAGGTCTGGAAACTCATCCTCAGCTGGCCGTTGCTTGATGACCAGCCTGGCTAGCTTAGCATTGCTAAATAAATACAAAAAAAAAACACTACACTTTGCTGCCAAAGGCTGAGTTCTGTTGGGTTCTGAATAGGTTAGCACCATTTGACTCAACAAATACTCTGAGCATTCTTTCCTTTCGGAAAACAGTGTTCATGACCTGTTTTAGGCCAATTGCATTTTATTATCCATGCCAGGCAGGTTGGTCTTATCTATACAGGAAATGTTTTTATTCAATGCCCTCTGCACTAAAACACGAGTCAGCAAGGTCACTGTCTAACACACAACTATATTAACACTTCTTTCTGATTGTAGTGTAATGCTCGCAATACACCTATAGGTTCTAAAAGCGCACGAGAGCTGGTCTTTAGAGGACTTTGAGTTGCTTCGGGCCTTTACCTGGGTTATCTATCCCGGTCTGGATTACATCATCCAGTGTAAACCCGCTGGGTGTCTGTTTGGAGCGCAACTTCTCATACAGCACCGGTGTGAGGACCTTGGCCATATGGTTGTTGTGCTTGCTGAGGTCGGGGTATTCCTGCTCACAGGTGTTCTTCATCTTCAACTGGTTGTGACTGTTCCCGAAAGGCATGGCTGCTGTTCGCTGAGCGCGGTGGGATTGGGATGGAAAATAACTGTGGTTACACTGAATGTGAAATAAAGCCAAGAGGCATCCTTGACTTTTCATGGAGAAATATGCATACAGTTGAAGTAGTATCGATACAAGATGGAAACTGTTTGAGACTTACTACTTTTATGCACGTGAACGTGATAAGCGTTACATTTCTACACAAGTAAAAATGGCAAATGATAAGTATGACCAATATGTGCTATGGTTCAACACAGAAATACTCATATAGGGTAGGGGACTTTTGTACAGAGACGTTGTACTAAGATAATGAATAATTTGTACATACATTTACAAAAAAATACTGTACAAATTTGTAACAATTTAAAAATACAGTAAAAATGTTACAAATTGCAATACTCAATGTCTCAACTGAATCCATAGCGTGACGAATGACTCTTATGAACCGATTCTTTTTTTAGTGAATCAAACGAGGCCAGTAAAGTGCGATGCCCGAATGAATAACTCATATGTGCCGAATCCGATTCTTTATAGTGAATCAAGGACAATTTAATCTGATTTATAAATAAACCGAAAGTTAATTTTGTCATGTCCGACAGGACTAATGTTAATATAAAAATATTAAAACGTCTATGTACCTGTAAAATGGCAATTTAAATTGTAGATAATGAATTTCTGATTTGTTAAATTATTTCTCTTTTAAAACCATTAACGAAGCTCGTCAGATCAGATGATTCAGGTCTACATCTAACAGATAGTCATCGTTGTGTTGTAAACTAAAATGCACAAACTTTCGTGCAGGAGTACGATCGATGCTATCGATGACTTAAAACTGGGCGTCCACTGGACGGCACCACTTCAACGAAAGAGAAAGGTTGAGCTGTCATTGTGGACGCTTTCTTTCACAAGAAGCCTAGAAATGTCAGAAAATGTATGATAGTAGACCTCCACGATACATTAAAAAGCAAGTCTTTCTGATCAAAAGGCTTATCCAGAAGCTTTTAAATCGCCGTTTATAGCGTAGTTGCAATACTTTTTCCAAATACAATTTTAATTGCGATCTTGCTTAAGCTTCTACATTAACAAGAGAGATGCAAACTTCTTAATGAAAACTCTTACCGTGGGTTGTTGTGGACTGCTAGAGCTAGAGGAAGACTGAGCTGAGACAAAGATCCCTATTTTTACGGTTGGAGTATGAACTCTGCGTGTCGTCCGTCTGTTCTCTCCAGCACCAGATAATGATGGAGCGTTTGTTTTATAGTACAGGAAAGCTGCTCCTATTGGCTGCTATTTGCAGTCCATTCAGCCCATTGGAAGAATCTGACACTGGAATAGTTTGACTGCTCTCAACAATATGTATATAAAAGATGTGCAAAAATGTAAGAAAATGATCTAACGTTAATTTGATTAAGTTAAGTTATATCCTAGTCGGTTGATTCCCAGGACATGGGAAGTGTTTGATTTCACATGGTGAAACGTAAAAAATAAATTTATATAAAAAAAAAAAAAAACGATTTATATTGGGATTGAGAATGTCCAGATTAATATGTAATTTAAAAAAATGTAAAGAAAAAAGAAAACAAATGTATAATGTATGCAAGTCTTATACGTTTGTATGGTGAGACCCCACACAGTATTGATTGTTTTTGTTTAAATTTGACTTAATAATATGAATTATAATGCAAAATAATATACAGTTATAATCTGAAAAGTAATAGTGTCATTATTTACTGACCCTCTAACGTTAGTTGTTACAAACCTGTATGATTTTCTTTTTTTGAAACATTCTTCGAAATCGCTTCTGTTGAGTGTTCAACAGAAGAAAGAAATCCATAACGTTACAGGTTTAGAATAACTAAGACGGGGTGAGTAAATAATGACATGTGAACTAACGTTATCCCTTTAACAGGAGTGCATCTCTGGTTTGAAGGGATAACGTTACTTCAGCCTGACTAACGTTAGAGTTGTGGGGCTTGGAAACACCTTCCTGGTTCATCTAAACCACCAAGCAAATTTCGATTTGGTTTATCTTGACGTTTATGCAAAACAGATACTGTTCCTTTAAATACTCTTACATCATTTTCCTGAGACTGGTTGTGTTGTGAGAAGTAGACGTTTTGCGACAAGTTGTAGATTTGTATATGGCGAGCAACCCGTTCACATGCGTTTGAGTCCATCCAGATGAGGTAAAGAGCCGCTCTGTAAGACGGACCGCGTCTGCATGCAAGCGGGTTATCAAGCAAACTAGCCGCACACACGTGTTGTAGCTACTTTCTTTCTGCTCTCTCCCTAATATAAAATTATAGAAACGGTGAGTTTTTTTAATGTTAAACATATCTTTATGTCGAACGATGTAACTTACGGTCGGTCAGACAGACACGTTTCCTTTCCAGCAATGCGTGTAGCTGCTATAACGGTTAACGTTAACGTTACTGTGTTTACGCTTTGAAAAACACTTAAGTTTGTGCTCGATGTAAGTTAGCCTAATGAATGCTTTTTTTAAAGTGTTATTTCCCAGTCAGTGTAGCCCTCCTGTAAACACGATCTTATAAAAATATTTATATATCTAAGTAATCGATGGTTTGTAATGAAACATTGTGTGCTCTCACACAATCGAAGTCGCTGTTTAGCGAATCCGTTCCTCTCGTCATTTACGACAGTGACCTTGCTGAATCTAATACATAAAATAACAAGAAATGTTCACAGATATCAGTAAGTGCGTTATTAACAGATTAACTTACATATTGCCCATATTTTTGCTGTTCTGAACTGTCTCCGGACTGCGGTTACACAGAAGGTGCTTCAGGTTGGTACTAACGGTCACTCTAACGGTTTACAACTAACGTTAACGTTATTTAAATCAAAATACTTTACAATATCAAAATTTTGAGTAAGTTAGTTGACGTTCATGTTTTTATTTGAGATTATAGGCTATGTGTATCTTAATATATTGGGTAAAATATTAAACTTTACATTTGTAAACCGTTTACTTTCAGTACAATGTTAAATTTGTTTTTATTTTAACTTAATTTTAATTTATTATTACTTTTAACTTCCAAGTGCACGTCTTTATTTTTACGTTTCTATTTAATATTTAAAAAAATCCGCTTTCTTGGCAATATTGCTTTAATAGCTTTAAACAAAAGCCATAATAGACAATTAGACATAATCCTCCAAGAAGTGTCAACAGTGGAATTTTGGGTTTGTCTCTCTAAAAGTACAGAAATTAGTTTGGCAGGATTTTAAAAGCATGACAGCATAGCTCTTTATTGTCATGCAGTTTATAATAAATAAAGTGTCTAAGTCTGTTTTATGCTTTTTGTTGTCAACACAAATATTTTTTTTTAAAGATGGGAATATCCTAAATATTCAATTTAGTCTATGAAGTAATATGATGGAATATAAATATTAATTTAAATGTTTTGTCTATTAACTTATGAGAATAATGTGTTTGTGTGTTTTCATTTATAACAGACCAGCGTAATTTAATCATCCACACTTTTCGTTGAAGTTGAAACCCAGCTGTGCCTCATGAGTTTTGTGGAATACTCCGAGCTCATCCAAGAAGGGGATGTTGTCATTATCTTCCTGAGTCATGATTCCATGATGCCTATCAAAGTTCAGTCAGGAGCTCAGACGCAGACCCGCTATGGGGTTATCCGCCACTCCAGCGACCTGATTGGACAGCGCTTTGGTACCAAAGTGACTTGCAGTAAGGGTGGTTGGGTTTATGTGCTGCACCCCACACCAGAACTGTGGACTGTTAACCTTCCCCACCGAACACAGATCCTCTACACGACAGACATTGCCAACATCACACTGATGCTGGACCTCAAACCGGGCTCTGTCGTCTGCGAGTCAGGTAAGAATCAAAGGGTTTTGGGCATCTGAATTTTTAGAGATCTTCTATACAGTCTTATCCTTGCTGTAACAAGGAGATACTTGACTTTTAAGTGTCAAGCAGGTGAACTCAAGTCATATACACAGAAAGACACTTCATATTCATATTTTGCTGATGGAGGTTTGATCAATGAAAGTGCTCCATATTGCCTGATATATGCCTCCATATAACCCTAATGCAATGTAACCCTACTCTTACGAGGCTCAAAGACAGCTCAGCCTGTCAGATTAAATGCAGCCCACTTTTCTCCAGTGTACTTCTGATGTCCACCCTACTGCAAAGCTCATTCTAAAAACGGGAGTAAATCAAGTCTGAATGAAGATTTGTTCAGACGCTTTATTTAAAATACTGAATAATTTCTGTTCAACACAAATAATGAAAGTATATTGTCCCTGCAGGTCCTTAAAAAGTTTTAAATTCATTTTGATCAAATTTAAGTCCGTAAATGATCTTTAATGTTTCACACAGTATATGAAAGTCTTAATGATCATTTCAAAATGCCTTACATTTGGGTACAGAAAAACCGGAATTGCAACACGTTTTAATATGATTATTAAACTTCAAAAGGCTATGATTTAATTTATAGCACAATTAATGAGCACACACATTTCAAAGGACAAACACAGCGCTTTTGTGGGTTCCACAAGCTCGGCATGGTTTCATTGATATATACATATTAAAAATCTGTGCATAGAGACAGTCTGTATAAGCGATCCATTTGAAATAGACTACCTAATCTATGAACAGTAAAATCCCATACTGAATGCTGCCAAAAATAGGTCAGATACATGCGATTTGCTTGGCAATGGCTTGCATTTTATATCATCGTATATTAAACTTAAGCAACGTTAGCCATTATATACATATTTATTCAAATCAACTGAATCAATAGGCAGTGCAGGACCATTAAAGGCAGGGTAGGTAAGTTTGAGAAACTAGCAGAAAACTGCTGGATTGTGAAAGTATCCAACAGAGAAACTCCCACCCCCTCCCTTTTGGGCTCCTTCCAAAGCCACGCCCCCCAAACACATGAACGTGTGATGCCGACCGCTCAGCTGGAGGACGCGTTTACCAGCGCCGAGCGGAGAGGAGCGCAGTGCATGGAGTGACATCACCTTTTTTTGCCTTGTTTGCCTGCGCTGACTGTATATGCAGGTACAGGTGGTACTGGGATTTTTGACGGCTCTTTCTCTGCCATTATTGTGAGACTTCCTAGCTTCCGGCCGGTACGTGCCTCTCGTCTTTCGAAATGAGCGAGTCAACCGGGTGCGCGCATGTGGGCAGCTCCTGTAGCAGCAGGGGTGGTAGCCATGGTAGCGAGGGAGAGTGACAGTCGCCCAGCCAATCATTGCATTCGTTCCGAATGGAAAGAGTAGTTGTGTTTATTGCAGCCCTGAGAGGACTACAGACACTCGATTTTTATACTCTCCTTTTCAGATGACTTACATTTTTAGATATATATTGGTATATAAAGACAGTTTAAACAAATTTGGGGAAAAGTGTTTTAGAAACAAACTTGCCTACCCTGCCTTTAAGTTAAAATGTAATAGCCTATTATAAACAATGCGAGTAAATCACTCGCATGTGCGACAGAATTTCACACTAGGCGATTAAAAAATGTCTTTAATTAGCCAATGGCTAGTAAATTGTACGATTTCTTTCGCCTGATTGAGTTCGAGGCAATAAATAAGTTCAGCACAGATATCTAATTGAATTGCCTACTGAGCTTTACATACCGTCGCTTGGCTGAGAGCGCCCTCTGTCGCTTTCTCTCACACTCTGCACTATCGCACTCACCTTGAGAGAAAGAGAGAGGCTTTTACACATGCCACGTAAAGAGAATTGATGCTGTCTCGATCAGGCGAGTACTTCATCATCATTAAAGTTTATCATTTGCACATGTTTTTAAGCCTAATTAATTTGAACATTGAAGCGCAAGAAGACGTGAAAATAACTCAATAGCCAAAGCTGTGTCTGACAGCACGCAAATACTGAAATGAGCTCTTTTTCACGTCTTCACACAAAATTGTCAACATGCCTGTCTTGGCGAGTATCCTAGTAAACGTGAACAGTCTAATTTTACTGCTGCTGTCTGTTTTTAATGTTAATCAAACAATAAAAGACTCACTGCAAAAAATCACTCAATGCTCTTGACTGAATAACTTTTGTAATTTTAATAAGGATCCATCTATTTAGTTCATACAGTGAAGACTATGCAGTGTTTTTACATTTGATTATTCAATTTCTGTGCCTAATCTGTATCTAACTACTGTTAGATTTACATGAAAAAAATGAAAAGCACTGTTTATTTAATTTGCATCTTTGTTCTATTGTTTATTTGTGCTATTGGTTGTAGTTTGATTATTTGGTCTTATTTTATTACAGACTGTTTATTTGACTTTAATAGTGAAATTTATATTTTATACTATATTTATGTAGAATTTTTTTAATTTGCATTGTTCTTGTATTCAATGTAAAAAAAACAAAAATTACTAGCCAATGGCAATTCGAGCTTCGGTGTGTCCATAGGGTTGCAAATAAAAGTTAGTCCACATAAGGTTAAGGTATTGTTGTTCGTTACAACGGTAACCACTTGCGTGTCCGGATTTAAACGCACTTCTTGTGTATGAAAAGTATCTGTACACATGACGGGTGCCAAAATCGCAAGAAAAGCTTGATGTGTTCTGACAACAATACATTATAAAGCGTGTTCTCTTTGTTAGGATGTTGATATAGCAACGGTTCAAGTTTCATTCTTCCCGTTTGTCATTTAATCCGATATAAAATTTCATGCCGTATTGTCCATACATAACCGGTAGTATAACAATCCTATAAGCAAGCTTAATTATATGCTAGTTTAACATGACGTAGAAGAAAATAGAAAAGTTTTGGCTGTTAAAATACTCCCTCACCTTGCTCATCATCCAAGTGGACATTTCTCTGAACTCGGGTGATTTTTGTTTTCTGCTCCAGATATATTACACTTTTCAAAATAATATATTTATTTTAAAACGTAACATTAATATGACTAATTTAAACGTAGCTTTTGTAAATAAAGGCAAAACATTAAATGTGGAAAAAAAATTATATACTTTATATTTAAACGACTAGTATTTTCAAGTCGACTAGCAGCAGCAGTAGTATTGTTTAATCGACTATTCAACTAGTCTCGCACATCTCTTTTATAGATAGATAGATAATATTTGTTGTTGTGCACCTTGAAACAAGGTGTATTGTGAAAAGTGCAATACAAATAAAATGGACTTGTCTAGTTGGAGTGGGCAGAGTAGGCTCGGCAGAGATGAGATGGAGACGAGACTCTTTTCAATTTGGCTCATTCAACTTGTTGGTCCTCTTGTATTCTGAATGAATCCATTAAAGGCTGTTGTTGAGCGTGTACACGCGAACACACTAAACACACACTCTGCTCTGTCCTCAGTGCCCTCCAAACTTATTGAGCTGGACAAGCATTTACCCTTAGATATCAGTGCAGTGTTCAGGTGAGTGTGACTGTCCCACAGAATTGGCACATGTGCAGGCTGAAGTTTGTTTTTGATCATTCAAGTATTGGATATTTCTTTTGGAATAATTCAGTGTGTTCTTTCTCTCCTACTGAGCCTCTCGTTCTTGCGTCACTCACTGTTCTATCTGAATGCAACGCTGTGGACTAAACATTGACCCTATTGTTGCCATGAGAACAAAAGCATACTAATGGGTTCTTGAAGAGGAAGATGGGCCATTAACACCAGAGCTTGCTCACATGCACGTATATCACAATGCACATGTTCATGCACACGTTATTACTGTATTTAACTCTGAACATATACATGCATGTGCATAATTTAATTAAGGTCAATATTACCCCGATAAGATGCTTTTTGTAATATTCCACATGTTAGTGGCTCAAATACTAAATAAAACATGTATTTGATCTCATCAACAATTTGATTTCATCAACACAATCCATGTACTTTCTTCTTTGAAGTCAATATCTGTTGTGTTTGTCGCAACAAAAAGTTATCACATCTGTCAACTATCATTCTGACTGTCATCAGACAAACAGAGTTCTGGAGATATTCAACTCAGTGAAGAAAGTACAAGTATACTGTTTGGGGATTTCTAGGCATTGTATTTCATGACACATATTTATTAATCCTGATTTCTCACAACTTTTTCTGGGCGAGTCGGAGTGAACTGCGGCGCTAAGAGTCTCACGAATGCGTTGAGAAGAGGTCACATCGAGGTCAGGATTTTTGTTAAATAATACTTTTCGGTTTGTTTTTCACCAAACCCTATCGTATACCCCCAAAACACTTGTTTATATGGCCTGTGTGGTATGGGACCATTATGTGATACTTTTGCATCTTTTTTAAAAAGCGTGATTCTGGTCGCTATTCACTGCCATTATATGGACGAGGACATTTTTTTTTTTTTTTTTTTTTATTCTCCTTTTGTGGTCTGAAAAAATAAGTAATTGCATACAGCGTTAGAACAACAGCAGGGTCAGTAAATGATGATAATTTTAATTTTAGGGTGAACTATCCCGTTAATGTGGTTATAGCAATGAGGTGAATGTGTTTATTTATACTTTTTTAATTGTAATACGACCAGATTTTAATTATTTTATTTAGTGTCTGAAACTGTTGCATTCCGAAAAAGTGTAATTTGATATTCATTTTATAATCTCAAACACAGACCACTTATTCCCAGTGGTGGGCTTGTTATAACAGCAGATTTTGTGTCTCTTTTCCAGGTACAGGCAGCGGCTCTCTGTCTCACTCTATTTTGCGGACCATTGCTCCCACCGGTCACCTGCACACAGTCGAGTTCCACGCTCAGCGAGCCGAGAAGGCCATCCAGGAGTTCAAGGAGCACAAGGTGTCTCACCTGGTTACTGTTAGAAACCAGGACGTGTGCGCTGAGGGCTTCGGCATCACAGGTGTAGCTGATGCGGTCTTTTTAGACATCCCTTCTCCGTGGGAGGCAGTCACACATGCCAAGAGGGCCTTGAAACGCAAGGGTGAGAGTACACAACTCAAATAACTAAAGAGACATTACCATATTAATGCTAAATGGCATGTGGTTCTCTGTCGCCATGACTAAAGTATGAAGCCACTAAAGTGAGTCGTCAAATCACAAGATATAGATGCTACTGAATACTACAGTGACCTTTATGAACACACAACTTTACAGGCATATAAATGGTGCCGTTTCAAATTTACCAATATGCACACACTTACAAAAAGTACTTTATATGTATGGTATTTTGATATACAGTATATACCATGGTATTTTCCTGGTTAACCAAGGTAGTTTTAAGAGTACCATATTAACATCAAGGGACATTTCCCCAAAAAATATACGTGTCACGAACTGCTCTGAGACACGAAGGTTGAGATCCAAATGCAGCTTTAATTAAGGGGCAATCCAGACACGTAATCCAATATACAGGTAATAAGTCAAAACACAGGTGGCCAGTCCAAACAAACAAACAAAACAGGCAGGGGTCAGAGGCAAAAGAATAATCCAAGGACCAGGCAAGAAATCCAAAAACCAAGCGACATAAAACCAGGGAAAACGCTCGGAAATGCAGTGCAACAACATACAAAACATCGCAGGGAGTGAATGAGTGAACAAGTGCTGCGTCCCAATTCCCATACTATCTGTCCTAAATAGTATTCGAAAATAGAATTAGTACGTCCCAAATCGTAGTATGTTGAAATGAGTGTTTCAAAGATACCCGGATGGTCTACTATTTCCGAAGTGTAGATCGATGCACACTCTAATGGCTGATATTGCCCACAACCCATCGCGCGTTGGACGAGGATTCGGTTAGAACTACAAACACGAGTAAAAAGTGTTAAAAAACTACAGACATGCCGCGAGTCCCGCGGTTATGTAGAGAGGTTTAGATAAAGAGGTTTGAGTGATTAATTATCATTATCTAACCTGATGAAAATGAATTTATTCAATGTTGTCCACATTAAATTGCATCTGCAGCAGCATTGTGAACTTTTGTAAAGATACGTTTAGCCATTACCTTTTAAATGCATCATTATATTCAAATTGCAAACACGAGGAGAGTATCCGCATGAAAGACCCACGACTGGCAGATGAACGTGCTCTCCGAAACGGTAGGAAATCAAATTAGATTGAATAGAGGATTTTAAATGTGACAAGATAATTGACAGGGCAGTTTACGGTGACAGCTGCACGCAGCACGCGACAGAGCTGTCCGTTAAAGATGACGTCATAGTATGTCCCAAAGCTTGCCTACTCTTTAGCTACACACTCAAAAGTATGCACTTTTTCTTCACAAAAAGAGTACATACTTTTAGGGCGTAGTATAATGCCGTGTTCCAGGCAACCTGTAACCCGTGTTTTTCCAACCTTATACCCGTGAAAGTGCACTGGAACGGCAGTCAAACCCGTGACTTCCCACCCGTGAACTCGTACTAGATCGATGTATTCCCAGTTACAAGCTCTGACGTCACATAGCCCGCGAAACCATACAAAACAGCAATGGTTTGTTTACATCTAGCTACCACAATTCCTTGCGCTCAGGTAGTTTAGCGTGACTGGCTTGGAACGCGACAAAGTCGTGTCAGTCGTAGTTTGAAGTCGTGATTTACGTGCTAAAAAACCTGCCTGGAACGCAGCATAAGTAAGCGAATTGGGACGCAGCAAAGGTTTAAATAGGCTGAGACTAACAAGATGAGACACAGGTGAATGCAATCAGTGATGATGAGTCCAGGCAGTGAGTTATGGGAAATGTAGTTTGTGAGGGAGTGATAATAGTCTGTGTGGAGTGCCCTCTGGTGGCTCTCAAGGGCACTGCAGCTGGTGACTGTTACAATACGCCTAAAAACTCCCCTCATCTGCCATCGACCTCAATGAAATGCCCAAATAACCCCTATGGATCAATGGGAGGTTTGGGGAGAGATTCCTTAAATTGTGAATTTCTTGTTTAAATTTGTGTAGTTTTTCATCTCAGTTATTGAGGCAGCTTCTGTGAATCATAGACAGAGGCCTCTTGTTCTGCATAATTACATCTTAGTTTTGTGCCAAAATGATGTCACACTTCACTTTGATTACTTCACTTTAATTAATCATGAAGACTTTGGTTTGAGTTTGCCCAGCTCGAACAGATTTCATAGTTGTTTTGTCTGTGGTTTCTCTGATCATTCTGTTGGAACAACTTTTTTTTTTTTTTTTATCGAGTGGGCATGTCAGAAACGGTTTCTTCAGAAGTGACCAGACCACTTGGCAAGAGGCTGTTTCCATGGGAACTACAACTCACTTTGCCCTACTGGGCAGGCCTAGACTAGTCAGTGTCCCAGTAAGGGGTCAGCAGTCCTTGTGTATGAATTATTCCCCTGTCTGTAAAGAGGAATTTTCATAAAAATACATAGCCCTTGGCTTTTAACCCATAACTCTCCTGCCTTTGTAAAGGTTGAAGCTTAGATGTAGGTGAATGTTTTTTTTTTAGTTCTGTAATTTAATACATTTTTGATAAATGGGAGGTTGACCGTAACCAAAATGTTTTTTAATTTTATTTTTAAAAATCTAATTATTTAGGTAAAATTTAAAATTAATTAAAAAACACGCACAATAACTTAATACAGTAAAGACACTGCTGCAATTTCATTACTACCCAAATACTTTGAATTTGTCTACATGCGTGTAAAGATCTGCCTTGGCGGAGTATAAGATAGAGACTCAATTTCCACCAGGAGATCCTCTCTTGTCTCATTATAGTGGAATGTCTGCAGCGCTCTGTTACACCCCCTTTTAGAGACTCTGATTTGTAATATACACACACACAGAATGTTTTGCTGGCAGGGTAATATTGACCATAAAGGGGCATGCAGTGAGACTTCAGTGAGCATGGGCAAGGCTCTGGTATTCTCATACATTTGCTGGCCTCTTTCCGATTCTTTTGACAAATTGACTATCTTGTGCAATACTTATCAGGAGTTCAGTGAAGAAAACTTTAGCATGGCTCTGACTATTAAACCTTGGTTAACTCCAAGCCAGTTGTCCTTGACTACTAACATGTTTCTCACAACATGTACATTTTATTGCTATTATGCAACATTCAGAGTGTGTAGTGATTTGAGCTGATTCTTTATCCTGCCTGTTTCTTTATTTCTTCTAATTTTTGGCTTTTCAGGCTTGTTACTCAGATAAGAGAGTGCTCAGAGAATCTGAGCTGTTGGCGTGACTAATTTCTTACTCGGACCTCCGTTGCCAGGAGACCTGATGTGTCTGTTTATGACTGCGTTTTCATGCAAAGGCCTTATTTGTCAATGGAATTGCACACTCTCTCTCTCTCTCTCTCTCTCTCTCTCTCTCTCTCTCTCTCTCTCTCTCTCTCTCTCTCTCTCTCTCTCTCTCTCTCTCTCTCTCTCTCTCTCTCATATACTTGACAACATTGTAAATGGTTATGGAGTAAGAAAAACTGGCCATCATGACATGCACAAACCAACTGAGGATCACATACTACCACACTTTTAAGTCGTCCCAAACAAAACAAACTTATACAGAAACTTCACTCAAACTATCAAACATGTTTGATATTTTCCAATCAATGCCTTTTGATAAATCTAATCCATCTAAATGTAATCCATCTAAAATCCAAATAATTTTTCCCCGATTTGCAGTCTGGAGTCAATGCTAGTTGCCAAAAATCAAAGCTGTTCTGCAGATTTTGGGCATTTAGAGTTGTCAAATTTCACAGAAATCATGTAGTGTATGATGGGGACAGACTATGATTTGTCTGTATGATTTGATTTTGATTTGATACTCCACTTTTTTTGGAAATAGGCTCATTTTACAACTCCCCCAGAATTAAACTGTTCAGTTTTACCGTTTTTGAATCCATTCAGCCGATCTCCGGTTCTGGCGGTACCACTTTTAGCATAGCTTAGCATACATCACTGAAGTGGACAAGACCATTAGCATTTCTCAAAAAAAAATGACCAAAGAGTTTCGATATTTTTCCTATTTAAAACTTGACTCTTCTGTAGTTACATCGTGCAATAAGACCGACGGAAAATGTAAAGTTGCGATTTTTTAGGCTGATATGGCTTGGAACTATACTCTCATTCCTGCGTAATAATCAAGAAACTTTACTGCCGTACCATGAGTGCAGCAGGCGTAATGATATGACGCAGCGCCTGAAAATAGGCTACCTTCCGTCAACACAACGGAACTATTTTCAGGCGCTGCGTCATATCATTACGCCTGCTGCACTCATGGTACGGCAGTAAAGTTTCTTGATTATTACGCAGGAATGAGAGTATAGTTCCAAGCCATATCAGCCTAGAAAATCGCATTTTTAGTCCACGATGTAACTACAGAAGAGTCAAGTTTTAAATAGGAAAAATATCGAAACTCTTTGGTCATTTTTTTTTAGAAATGCTAATGGTCTTGTCCACTCCAATGATGTATGCTAAGCTATGCTAAAAGTGGTACCGCCAGAACCGGAGATCGGCTGAATGGATTCAAAAACGGTAAAACTGAACAGTTTAATTCTGGGGGAGTTGTAAAATGAGCCTATTTCCAAAAAAAAGTGGAGTATCCCTTTAAGATAGATTTGCTTTGTGTGAGGAGTGCTATTTGAGTTGCCTATGTTGAACGTTTCAAATCATTGTTCATATTGTTCATCCATCAACAATCTTGAACTCTGCCTTATGTTCCTCAAACCATTCCTGAACAATGTGTGCAGTGTGGCAGGGTGCATTATTCTACTGAAAGAGGTTACTTCCACCAGGGAACACCATTGTCATGAAGGGGTGTACTTGGTTTGCAAAAGTGTTTAGGTAGGTGGCATGTGTCAAATTTACATCCACATAAATGGACGGACCAAGGGTTTCCAAGCAGAATATTGCCCAGAGCATCAAACTCCCTCCACTGGCTTGTCATTGTCCAATAAGCGCATCCTGGTGCCATCACTTCCCCAGGTTAACAGAGCACGCGTACACAGCCGGCCACATAATGTAAAAGAAGACGGGACTCATCGGACCAAGAAACCTTATTCCACTGCTCTAAGGTCCAATTCCCATGCTCGCGTGCCCATTGTAGGCCCTTTTCGACAGTGGACAGGGGTCAAATACGCACAGCCCCATACGCAGCAGAGTGCGATGCACTTTGTGTTGTGACATTCCTCCCGTAACCCTCATTAAAATGTTATGTGCTTGAGCCACAGTATACTTCTGTTGGCTTGTACCAGATAGAATAGCCTTTGTTGCTCTTGTGCATCGGTGAGCCTTGGGTGGCAAACACCCTGTTGCCAGTTTGTGGTTTGCCCCTCCTCGGACCACTGTTGGTAAATTTTCATCACTGCTGACCGGGAGCAACCCACAAGCCTTGCTGTTTCAGAGATACTCTGACCCAGTCGTCTTGCCATAACAATTTGGACCTTGTCAAAGTCGCTCAGACCTTTATTCCTAACTATTTCTCCTGCATCCAACACGTTGATAACGAGAACTGATTGTTTGCTTGCCATCTGATCTACCCACAAGTAGAATCACAATTAGACAGCAGGGTAGCAACAGAGTTGGGTTACACTTTTTATTTTTAAGGTATAATTATACATTTAAGTACTGAATAATATCAATTAACAATATGCACTTACTTTAGGATTAGGGTTTGGTTGAGGGTTAGTTGCATGTAATTATGCATATTTTACTGTTATTACTATGGTAAGAACATGTAACATGTGTAACAAGGACACTGTAAAAAGGAAAAAAAGTGTTACCCAGAGTTGATATTTAAGCAATTAGTTATAAGAGGCTTTATTGTGATTTAGAATTATATCTGGATACTTTAGATCAGTCGTGGGCCCTGTCTCACACCTGGTTGCCCGTTGACGGCAACATTGGCCAGCAACATTGCTCAAAAAGTTGCTCCGTCTGTACAGTAAAGTACAGACAAGTCACAAGTCACCTTTACTGTATTGCAGATTTTAGGATGGTCTGAACGCTGTATTTACCAATCAGAATTGAGGAACTTTTTTTATAAAAGTATTTGTTTAGGCACCAAGTGACTTTGGATCCCTGATGCATCCCTGTGAAAATTGTCAGGCTCAAGAGAAGAGAGTGAGACAGTTCTGCATTGCTTTCCTACAGTGTGTCCCATTCATTATAATTCTATGGCGAATGTTGAGAGTGAAGGATGGGGTCATGCTGGATTAAGTGAATGTGATTGGATTGAGTCTAAAGACAGAATCGAAGAGTAAACTATACCCATTAAGGTCTCTTTCTCATACTTCTCTCCTCACAGCACCCTGTCTATCTTCTTACTCTGATCACCAGTGGCTATTTTTGTGCATGTAAGTAATACCACCTTAAGCCCAAATTCCCTCCAATCGTGTTAGTGGAGCAAGATGGCAAAGGAGTGGAAGAGATTGCTGTTTCAATTTTACTCCTCTATTTAACATGTTATTATGAAACCGTTTAACAGTAAGGCAACAATATGCAAACATGTGCATGTCGACTGCTCTCTAACCCTTAACAGCTTAGTGAGTTATTGGTTGCTTCCAGTAAACCTTGAGGAACCATATTCTTTGACATCACTTCCTGATTATTCTCAGCAGGCCTGCATGAAATCTGCACCCACAGAACTTTATTTGTTGAACAGCCTACTGGGTGTGATGTTGATGATTTTGGGGCAGGGCTACCTACAATGGTAGTTGGGGGGTGGCGTGTACTCACACTAGGCACTGTTGCCTTGTACCGTGCCCTGGAGTGAATTTCCCCCCTCCCAACGTTCCGGGCCAGAGCATGCTTGCGTCATTTACGATGCAACTTTTTGTTTTGAAGAAAACAATCAATTCATCAATAAGGTGAGAACCAGACCCGCTTGAATTAAGTTGTGTACTATGTGTACTATCCAAGTAGTAAGAGAAGATGTTTACTGTCGTAATAACAGTAGCACACACAAAAGTAGCAGCTGTTCCATGCTCCGGCGTGGTTAGCGATCACACGACATGCTCTGGCCCACCTCTTCCAAGCGGGCCAGGGATGGTTAAACAAACTGTGCCCGGGCACAGTACAGAGAGATCACACTAGTCAAACTAACCAGACTTTGGGGATCAACTGTGCCCGGGCACAGTACAGAGAGATCACACTAGTCAAACTAACCAGACTTTAGGGATCAACTGTGCTCGGGCACAGTTCAGATTGCCCAGTGTGAGTACACCCTTAGTCTTCTTTTAAAATAGTCATCTGTTCTGCAGTTCCGTTTGATGCCCCTAGTGACACACTTCAGCTTTACATCCACTATTCAAGATTCTGTAGACTTGCACCTGAAATTAGTGCAGAAATCGTGTAAAATATAACAAAAATTCTGAGTCTGCACCTCAGTTTACAGCAATAATTACTGCATGAAATTTTTGGATCTACTAAAGAACATTGTCGAGGTAAAATGGCCATTTCTTTTAAAAGACCTGAGCAAAAATGTTCCTGTTCCTCATTGCTTATTTCAAGTTTCAGGTTTGATTTGACGTCAGCCACAAGTGTGATCGTTTCTGGTATTTGATAAGGTTTTACAAATAGTAACGCTTGTTGCTGTCAAACAGGGAGGTTCATAAACAGCTATTCATGTTTGCACAGAGTGTAGCACAAGTGCTGGAGACTTGTGTATATGCTCAGTGGTTTGATAAAGAACAGATGCAAACTTGTAGACAGGCATAGTGAGTCACAGAGATCCAAATTACATTCATACAAAAGAGAAGTTTTATGGAATTTTCTAAATCATAAAATGAGAGGCATTCTCCAGTCTCAGGAGACCATGGATCACGCGGGATGAGGAACACCAGTGCAGCGTCAGTTGTGACTCAACAGTCCAATTCGGGAGTGGCAGTCTCTGCCACAAAACCTGCAGGTGAAAAATGCATTGAATTTTTTTGCATTCATTTTTCTGCAAGTTGGCAACACTGGCCCAGTCTGTTGTTTTACACTCAAACAAGAAACTGAAGAGATGGAACAATAGATGTGTGTGCTGTCGAACATTTGAGTTGGTTTAAGAGAGACATGCCACTCCAGTTTATACGGAATGCAAAAAACACTGGACAAAGATGAAACTTTCTAGTGTGAGTGGCTGTGTTTGCCATATCAAATGAAGTGTACTTTGAAAGACAATGCGTTTGACTGTACGCATATGCTAGTGTTCGTGTCAAAAATGAAGTATACACTCTTGAAGGATTAGTTCACTTTCAAATGAAAATTAGCCCATGATTTACTCACCCGCCTCAAGCCATCCTAAGTGTATATGACTTTCTTCTTTCAGACAAAAACAATCGGAGTTATATTAAAAAAATATCCTGGCTCTTCCAAGTTTTATAATGGCAGTGGATTGCAAATAACAGATTGAAGCTCAAAAACGTGCATCCATCCATCGTAAACGAACTATAAACGGCTCCTGTGGGTTAATAAAGGCCTTCTGAAGCAAAACGACGAGTTTGTGTAAGAAAAATATTCATATTTAACACGTTACAAAATACATTTCTAGCTTCCGGCCAAACGGTCATACGCAGTCTACTTCCCCCAACTTTCGAAATTTATGACGTCAGAAGTAGCGTAAATATCAGCAGTACGTCACATTACTCACATAAGTTGCGCTTTACATTTAAATTACATTTGTATGCATGTTTTTGAGCTTCAATCTGTTGGTTGCAATCTGCCTTTTATAAAATAAATTTGACCATCGGTCGGCTTAGGACGCCGTCTGGGTTTTTTGGGCCGAATCAGCGTGTTGGATCGAACTCTGATTTGCTGTTCAGCTTAGCGAACTAATCAGTGCACGAGAATAAACGCGAAAGTGATGAAGGCGAGCAAAGAAGTCAAGACTGCACAGACAGAAGGCTGACCTGAGCAATCGAATGCACAAATTTTTCATTATTACATGAGCCGACTGGAATGAAGAAAGTGATCTACATGATTTATATTCAAAATCGTAAGCAAGCGCTGCTTTGTTTTACAGTTTGTATATCTGCAGTCCTGGTTTCAGTTTCCCTTTTTGAATGATGAAAATGGACTAGATACCTGCTGATATAGACAGATATTACTTGCATCCAGGTGCAGAACGCACATGCTAGTTGACGGTCGCCTTTAGTCCTTTTGGTGTGTTTAAGCGCAGCTTTTTGGCCGAGACGCAGCCGAAGAGAGGCGACAACATAGTAAGCTTTCATCGCCGCTAGTTTCTTTGACTTCGGCTTGGTGTGTCGAGAATTTTTTTTTTTCTTAGTATGAAGAACATTTTATAATCTAAAGGACACTTTTTCCAGTATAAAGAACCTTATTTTTTCAGTATAAAGAACCTTTTGTGCATTGAAAAGGTTCCATGGATGTTAAAGTTTCTTCATGGAACCATAGATGCCAATAAATAACCTTTCTTTTTAATGGTGCACTTTATGCTTCAGTATGATAATTAGCTAATATTCTAATAATACTAAAAATAAAGCTCACTCCTTTTCTTTTTTACTGTCTTCAGGAGGTCGTCTCTGCTCCTTCTCACCGTGTATAGAGCAGGTCCAGAAGACTTGTGAGGCTTTATTGAACCATGGCTTTGAGGAGATCTGCACACTGGAGGTTCTGCTGCGGGTGCATGACATTCGTTCTGTCACTCTGCCCATACCAGACTTTGGACCAGAGGAGTGCTGTACTAACAGCACACAGATGGCTTCAGATCTTAATCAAGAGGAAGTCCCAAACACTGGGAACACCTCTGTAATCTGCAGGACTGCCATACCACCAAGAGAAATGGCAGGACACACTGGATACCTCACCTTTGCTACCAAACCACGCGACTAGAAGCATCGCTGAAGCCGACCACAGATGAGACTGTTGTAGAGTGTGAGTAACGCAGACTCACGTCACCTGTACACACCCTCAATATCCGGGATGCCCGATCTTGTTCTTGGAGATCTTCCTTCCTGCAAAGGTCAGCTCCAACCCTGATCTAACACAACTGAACCAGCTAATTTAGATCTTCAGGAGCACTTGATAATACAGACAGGTGTGTTTGATCGGGGTTGATTTGAACTCTGCTGGTGGATGGATCTCCAGGAACAGGACTGGCCATCCCTGCGGTCTTGTTTAGCTTTATTTAGATATAAAAGATTGGTTAACAGCTTGATTTGCTTTTACATCAATGTAACCGGTCAGTGGAGTTCAGATTGATGTTCATGTTTTTTTGTGCTTTCTTTTTTTTTAACTGGTAGATCTTTTGTTTTACTGCAATAAAATATATTGAGGTGGAAAAAACATTGTAGTTTTTGTATTTCTGTCTCTTGCTGTGGCAGCTTTGTATGACTGTCAGCTGCTGTGTGCAAATACGGCACACGTATTTGACCTCTCAGGGAAAACAAGGTAGAGTGGCTTGGAAATGTATGCTGTCCGTGACGTTTATGTGTCATGATAAAATTTAGACCAGACAACATCATATAAAGCTTTGTTTAAGTGTGAGGTTTTTATTTGTGCTCATCGATGTGATATGAGCAGTTTCTCACCACTAGCTCTCTAAATTCAAGGTTGTTACGGTCTGTTCTGTATTTGTGTATGTTACTTTCTTGCATGTGGAATGCAAGATACTGAAGAAGAACTAGATGCGCTAACATCTGGTAAATCTTATATCTGAAAAAAACTATTGAGAGCTCCTCTATCCACGAGTCCAAAAAAAGGCCGTCCCTCTGCAATCTGATGCCTTCATAGATGCTGCTGTATAAAGGTGAAATTACTTATTCTTATTCTCTCTCTTGCTCGTGTTATAAACCTTTTGTGCTCTATTTTGGGAAAAACAGAGGATCGATTTTATAGTTGGAGATAGTCATAATCTGAGTTTGGAATAAGATACTAGTGTGTACAGTACATATTTCACACTGCCTGCTAATTTGTCCATAAGGAATTGATTGGATCTTTTGATGGTTGTGGTTAATTTTTTTTTTTTTTTTATCGGCTCATATGGTAATGATATATTGTGCATCCAAAGTAATACAATCTTTTGGTAGTCAGATTAAATAATGAGTGAAGATGTTAAAACTCCTGGTTTATTCATCACACTGGCAGTGTGCTCTATATACTAAACAAGTGTAGATCAGTGTATATGAATACAGAAATTTTGTGACTGCATACATTATAGTGCAGAAATGGTAAGAATAATATGCAGTTCCTCTCAGGGCTCTGTGTTAACATGTTCAGATCCGTATGATTCTCTTAATGTGTGAGGGATTGTGGGTTATGTAATGTTGGAACTCAATTGTAAAAGGCTCCTCTTCCCATATCTGTTTATATATTGCATCCATATGTGGGGGATGGAGACTTGATGATGTAACAGAAGAATGGGTGTGTGTTACATTTAAGCCATCTGCTTTCTGTTAACACATTATACAGTGAGAAATGAGAACAGAGAGTGGTGGTTTCCCCCCTCACATCTGATGATCTAAACCACTGTACAGGACTCTAGAATAGCAGCTCTTAGTGCCTACAAATACTCACTTTAATCAGCTTGTCTGCAAGGCCTCGGTCGTAGGTTCCTGAAACACACTCCGGGTGATGATGATGTGGTGGGCGCAAAGTGTGTGTTAGCTCTCTGATAAAGTTAGAAGCAAGACAAATAATATAGGAATGGACAGAATCAATAATAGAATCAATTGGAGACAATCCAAAAAGGATCACATAAGAAAACATTATGCATCAAATAAAATCCTGTTGGATCCTATTTTTATTTATCAAGTTGGATATCTGTAGATTGATTTTCCCCTCTTGAGTAGGGATATACTTCGATTTCAAGTACTAAATTTCAAAAGTTTGTTTTTTATTTTATTATAATATAATCTGATCCTTCAGAAATCATTCTAATATGCTGATTGCTGCTCAAGAAACATTTCTTATTATCCATGTTGAAACTTGTGCTGCTTAATTTCTTTGTGGGAACTGATGCTTTTCCCCCCAGAATTCATGAGAAATTATTTGTAATATTAAAAATGTCTTCACTGTCACCAATTTAATGTCATTGTTGAATAAATATGTACTTATAATAGCCTATTTACTGTTATTACTGTCTAATTACATGCTGCTAACTCTAAACCAAACCAGCACTTTATTTTACAGTCCTGTTCCCCATGTACATGCTACTTATTATAGCAATTACAACAACTGGGTAATAACTAGGTACTAACCCTAAACCTACCCCTAAACATAACCTTAATCCATGTAGTTACTTTATATTACCCAGTACTTTCTTAGGTAAGTACACGTAAGTGCATAAACCCTATTCCTAACCCTAACCGTATTGTAATGATGATGATAATTAGTATTACTAAGTTCTCAAATGTATAATTACAATGTAACAAGGAGAACTTAAAATACGGTATAACCTAAAAGTAGTCATTTCTTTCAGAGTAGTGTACATTGTCAAAAAAAGAACTAAAGCAAATGAGTATTGAGCCACTACCATCTTACTGTTAACAGCTTTATACTTTTAAGCACAGTGACTGGCATCTATTCTTGACACACAAAGGTGCTTGTGAGCTATAAATACCCTTTCTAGCACATTCTCTATTTAAGCATCTCTCTCGCTGTCCACTCTTCACTCTCAGATTCTAGAGTTCAGCCCCATTAATCCAGGAGCAGAGAGGAGAAAAAGCAGCAGTCATGAGCTAAAGCACAGCAACTTGAGCGCAAAGAAGGCTTGTGCTGGTGATACTTTAGGCCATTAAAACACTTACAGTTTAGCAGTTAGGACCGCCTCGCCATCAGTGTGTTTACGCAGGTTACGTATTCGGTTTCGGGAAGTAACTAGAAAAGTAACACATTACTATTAAAATGACAACAACATTTTTGAGTTACTTTTTTAAATAAGTAACGCAAGATACTTGTTTTCCCATTTATCGACTGACAGCTCTCCTGTCCGCATGTTGAGAGAAATCAAGAGGAAGTGCAGAAGTGTTGTGTGCGCAAAACCCAGAACATTACGCAAAGTTGCACAAATGAAACATTAAATAACACTCAATTTATGTATGTAATCTCACTTTATTAATCAATGTCTTTGCTGCTGATCTTTGATCCAGTTCAACCATAGGAACAAGTATAATGATTTTAGTTAAACATCACATTTGTGGGTTTTTTTATTGCTGAAGTAAGAGTGTTGAACTTTCTTCTCTTGCATCCTGTTCCTCTGCAATCCAGAATGGCTGCGCCCTCTACACGCGTGCGGTTACATTTCCTTCAGCCTGAGGCTTATTCATTGCTTTTTTTGTCATGAAAGGGCCTTTAGTACAATTACCAAAAGTTTAACTGGAGTAACGTAAAAGTAATGTAACATTACCTTCCATAAAAAGTAACTAAGTAACTTGATTAGTTACTTTTTATTGGAGTAATGCAATTACTTTTATAAGTAACTTTCCTCAACATTGCTCGCCGTATACAGATATGAAACCAAGCACAATTCAAACATTATTAGACAAACTTCAGTTTGAAGTTTTTGAACTCAATACATTATTCACATTCTGAATAATGTGAACATTTTAGAATAGATCATTATCTCAGTAAAACAATAGCAGTCAATGGAAGGTCTCCACCTTGACAGGAAAACAAAGGCGTGTGTGTGTGTGTGTGTTTGATCCATGTGTCTTTGGTGGATATCATGAGCTCACAGGGAAAATATTGTCCTGTAAAAGGGAAGCAGGTTGATGCTTTTCCATGACTGAAGTTATTAATAGTAAAGGCACTGGTGTGTAAATGTCAGCAACATCAGGTTAAAGTGACCTACAGTGTGCATTGTATGATTTTATTGTGGAGTGCTATAACATTTCTGCAGCTTGTAACTTTTGTAAAAAAAAAAAAAGCAACATAATGAGATGAGGATAACCCTGTTTTTCTGTTTGGCACAATTATGATAAACTCATAAGCCGAGTCGTGTCTCCAGGTTATAAATTATGATCTTGTATCTGTGAGAAGCTCATTGTTCAGCTTGCTTTTGGTTTGTTTGGTTTAAAAGGCCTCAAGCCACTTCAGATATCAGATTTTAAAGAAAAAAATGTGCATGCTTTGTCTGATTCACAGGTTTTCCATGGAGACCGCAGAGCTTAAATGAGTGAACAGAAAGATTTCCAATTGTTTCTCATTTAACGCCGCATTTACACTGCGGGTTCGATTTGTTGACTGTATCCAATTATTTTGATGACCAGCTTGCATCTTCTTTTAAAAGTGACCCATATCCAATATCTGTATTTACACTATACACTTGGCAAAACAACCCAAAGTAAACGTACTGACCCGGAAAAGCTTAGGCCGGAAAGGAAGTAAAAACGGCACGATTTGCAATGGACGCAGACAAAATGATAAAACAAGATTTTGCTTTAAAGGTCTGCAAAACATTGGGTTGAGCCTTCGTCCTCCTTTGCGCCATTGAAAAGAGTCATGTGATCTCGGTTGGTGTCCACCTGAATTGACGTTCATTCGCCACCATCGCTTTTTCAATGACGTACGACTCACATTGATGGGAATATCCAATCTTTCTGCTTACATGTCAGATGCAAATCCGATTCATATTACATTTATTCCCACTTATGAATGAGGCCTGAAACTAATCTTAGACTATCAGAATCCATGTGGGTTTTTTTTCCTGCATACACATTCATAGGTTATATCCGATCTGTGCCACATGGGAGGAAAAAATTGGAATTGGGTCGCTTGCCCCATGTAATGTAAATGCGGCCCGAATGTTATCACATCTTTAAAGATCCACTCCGATGAAAATAATGTTTTTCTAGGTGTTAACATGTTCTTGTGGCATTTTTCTGATGTTAGAGGACATATCTTGAGAAAAATCAGCTCAAAGTTGTATTTCTGAGTATTTCTACATTCAA